AGTGTTTTATTCTGAAGCTGATTTTTGCCTCTTTTTAAAATATTATATTACAAAGTTTTTATATACCATTTCCTGTGTCTATTATGGGTGTTTGCTAACATAACATAACATTACATCTGATACATGAATCAAACAAAAGCTAAAAGAGCTGGCTCTCATTACTTTTAAAAATACATTTAAATTTCCACCCCAGGGTAAAAAGTAACAAGATTTTATATATGTCTTATTGATAACAGGTCCAGTTACAGAAATTAAATTATATAAATCCACAATTAAATTTGCTATTTTTTTAAGTTTAAAATTACCATTATAGATAACTTTAGTTTGGAGAACACTAACTTGATAAAATGCTCTTTTAAACCTCATACTTTAAAGACTCGTGTATCTGAAAGATATGAATACATTTAGTATACAAAGAATCTAGTAATAGCACCACAATTACACTAATGTTTTTATATTAACCAAGTTTAGCTTTTAAAGAAAAATCTTGATGCTGTAATATAGTGTAATACTCTAAAATAGCAGTTGCTGTTTAACCAGAGTTGTACAAACCCTAATTCCTTTAAAACTAATTTCTCTAAAGAATAAAACATAACAGATTATCTTGAGAGATTAGAAATCTTTGTTATTTCAACCTATAGAGGATTAAACTTTGATTTATATCAGTACATTAACATTTGACCTTAGGGGGAAAACTTGAATAGCTTTAACTCTTTATACTACTTATATTAATATAACCAACTTAGTTACACACAAACTTTTTAAAATTTACCCTTCATGAACCCTTTGCAACTTTGCTTAGGCATTTTATTTTACCCCATAAAAGACTTTCTTATCCAGAAACATTTCTTTTTTCATCTACTTTCTATATTAAAATATATTTCCATACCTAGAACTTTCTGATGTTTCTTTCCTAGCTGTTGATCCTTTCTCTTAATTCATACTCTGAAAACACTTATGAAATTTCTGAATTTAGACAAATTACTCTACTTTAATAAGATGAAATACTTTATACTATTTACAGTGCTTTAATGGTAACACAGTTGAAACTTTTTGGACCCTTAGCATATAGAATTACACCTGTTAGAACTTTAACTCTTAGTAAAGGCCTAGACATAAGACAATCTTAAACCTTTTTCCTTTACCCATTTTATGAAAACCCACATAATATTTAAATATATTACCTTATGGAATTTAAGATATCAAGTGTTTTCATTTTATATTTATCAGTTAGCACTGTGACTTTTTAAGTTAACCAGGTGTCTCCTTAACAAACACATTTATGAAGATTAATCCCATTGTGTTAAATATTTTTAATTAATTTATTTACTTACTTGTTCTAATTAGTTATACATGACAGTAGAATGCATTTTGACATATTATATTATACGTAAATGGAGTATAACTTCTCATTTGTCTGGTTGTACACAATGTAGAGTTACATAGGTTATGTAATCATATATGCACATAGGGTAATAAATTCCAATTCATTCTAATATTATTCCCACCCCCATGCCCCCTCCCCTCCCTTCACTATCCTCTGTTTAGTCCAAAATACCACTTTTCTCCCCTGCTGGGGATTGAACTCAGGGCCTCACACATGCTAGGCAAGTACTTTACCACTGAGCCACATCCCTATCTCCTAATTTACTTATTTCTAAGTATAAAAGCCAAGATATCAGACAAGTGTAATGAACAGTATTAGCCATCTCTTCCTTGTTGAAGAAAAATCCTAGAAACAATGGACATTACATTCTAGACATTTTGTAGAAATTAACATTCTATTCATTTTCTGACCACCTAGAAAAACTTGTGAGTTAGTAATTTTAAAGACATCTTTATTCTCATTTGTTTACCTAATTTAAATTGAACTTTTTAAATCACATGAACTAGGGGTATTTGGATTCATTTTACTTTTAAATTTTAATTTATGAGCACCCATTTATCTATATGCCAATTTTGATACCATGTACATGATATATGGACACAGGCACATGTTGACATGACAACACACAGTTGTGCACACTTACACAAAACGAACAAGAAACAAAGACCATTGTGGGTAGAGCTCCACTGCAATGCTACGGATGTTCACTAAAGCCTCTATTAGATTGACAGCTAATCCTTGAAATATTTGGCCTCTGAACAAAACAGTGTAAAAACCTCTATAATTAGATAAAGTAAGACTGACCAGGAAAACATATTAATTTAGGCATGCAGAATCAAAATGTGAATTCACCATAAAACCATGAGCTCAAAAATATATAGATTTTTAAAAACAAGAGTTCTAGGCGGGGCGGGGGGATGACGTGTTGGTTAATTACTCTAGTAAAGAGGCATGCAGAACATTTTTATCAGATCAGAGTTTACTTCTGGCTCAGATTACAGTGAGTTCAGATATTGAAAGAAAGAGAGAGAGCCCTAAAATCCTTGGGTAAAGATTCTAAAAGTAAAGAAGACTTGACCATTTATTTTATTTTTCCTCCCTGTGCTGCAGCCAGCCATTTATGTCTCTCAAGCTGCTAGGATTTAAAAGCCACATTTTTTTCTCTCCATCCTAAACCAGACTCCTGTGGAAATTTGCAAGCATCCCAGGACTCTACAATTTACATTTTAATGCAAGACTTGGTGAGATAGATCTGGCATAAACTAAGTAAAGGAAACTGTTGTTTTGAGGGCATTTTTAAACTATTTTTATTTCCTCAGTTGGTAATCAAGCCAAGTTTGAAAGCAGAAAATCATGAGACATCCTCTCCCATTACTTTTGAGGATGAGACTTCCCTCTGAACACATGAAAACAAAAAACACAGGGAAAGAGAACAGATCCCATAAGTGCCTACACTGAGCAACTGTCTCTTTGGCTGAGCAACTGTCTCTTTGGCTAGGGGATGTCTCTGTGATATCAGAGCCTGTATTCCTGGAGCCTCTTTACCCATCCTTCCATGTGTGACCTCTGGATTTAACTGCCACCTTACCAGTTTGGTCATGACCCCTGTGCTTTTTCATGGGTGGCCATGAAAAAGATGTAAGCCTCGGGACTATCCACCTTTACTGAATGTGAAGGTTATGAAAATAACATTCCCCAAGACAGCCCAGGAAGAAAGGAGGACAGTGTGGCCCTGGAGGAAGGAGAGAAGAAAAAGGCAAACATTCATCCCTTTCCAGTGACAATGGGACTTGAAGGGAGGAGGCAGATACTAAGTGCTGGGCCCTGGACCCTGGACTTTCACTGTTCTCACTGCTGATGAGTCCTGGAAGGAGAAAAGCAAATAATGAAGTTCTGGGTACAATGGACCCTGGAGGAAGAAGATAACCAATGAGCACTGGGCTCTGAGCTTTCATCCCTTCCCAGTAACAATCAGTTTCAGACTTTTCACAACCTTTTTCCAACTGCCTAAACCAACAGGTTCTGCTTCAGTCTCCAGTGATTAAGCCAACCTTATTGTAAACTATAAAACACAGACTCTTTCTGTAACCATCAGCCATTTTCTACCTCAAAATGAGCCCCTCCAGAGCTTAATAAACGGGATTGCTAAATACATTGAGGTCTGCTTCTGCCTCGGTTATTTGTGCTTACAGTATGACTTGTAATTCCCTGGGAGAACATACAGCATGTTCTCATGGAGAACATTTTGAAATGAACCTCGATCTGTCTGTGTTGAGCCTCCTATTGGTTAATAAACTTTTGGGAAGGGAAATTTGGCCTCACTTAGAATGGGGATCATAGCTGAGTCTAATTTACATTTTTGGCAAAATTTGGGTTTCTTAAGCAAGGTCGGTACCTCGGGCTATCTCCTTCCTTTTTACAGAACAAGCTGAGCTGTAGAATGGTATTAAAATTTATATTTCCCTCCAATGGCCATGATTCTCTATTCCATAGACGGTTGGTATTGAGATCACATTTGGCAGCAGCAGGGGTAAGGCTAGGATAAAGAATTTATGCTCACTGTGGATCAAAAGAATTGTTAGAAGGCTGTGGGTATAAATCTCCATTTTTGTAGTCAAAGAAGGTAGCAAAGCACATAGGAACAACAATGGGGTGAATCTCGACTAGCCTGTAAACGCTGTGAACAAAGGGAACCCAGGCACTTCCCTAAGAACAATTCCACGTCCCTCTCTCAAAACCCTAGAGTCCGAATAGCTAGAATCTGATCTATGAGGGAAGGGGAGTACTCCAGAAAGAAAGAAAAGATATGGGGTGCATGTGAAGGAGCATACCTCGGTGGTGATCTCAGTGGGACCTCCAAATGAGATCCTGCTGGTGATGAGAATCAATCACAGCCAAGTTCTGTTTCCCCAGATGTGAAGATTGAACACCCGAGAAACACTGAAGAAAGCATAGAAAGCAAGTTTTATTTAAAGGATGGAAATAGACTTCTCCCAGGAGGAAGAAGGGGTCCACAGCTGTTATCTGAAGAAGTGGGGGTGTCCTGCCCCTTTTATATATTTTAGAATTTCTTTGTTTTCACACACTCCCCATCCTGCTTACATGACCCATGACCAAAGTGACTCATGATCAAAAGGTGGGCCAAGAGTGGGAACGAAACTGTCCAGTGGTCCAGGCAGGAAGGGAGCAGCCCAGGAGGCATTCATTAACAGCCCCTTGTTGGGAGGAACAATTCCCTGGAAGGAGGTCACCTTGACAACAGATTGCAGTAGGGGAGAGGACTCTGAAGGTATTAGCATTTCAGTACTCCAGTGGCAAGTGACTTAGCCATGAGTGAAGGGAATGTGTCCTGAAAATATTAACATTCCATTTCCTTTGAATCAGCCTCCATCTTCCAGACCCCATTCAGCTTCTATCTTCTTGACCTGATCATCTATCTACACTAACTGCCTGACCTCTGTTCTTGCTTCACTGCCTCAGCTCCCAAGTAGCTGAGATTACAGGTGTGCACCACCATGACTAACTCCTCCTTCCTCTTACTGACCACTCCCCGCTCCTTGCCTTCATCAACTAGTGCACCAGGCAGGTCTTTGCATTTGTGGTGCTTCGGAGGACTGTGGGAGCAGTGACGGATGACAAGGTAGGATGATGAGGGGTGCACCCCAGGGGAAAGCCATCCTGGTTCTCCATTTTATTTCTGAAACTTTGTTGGATGTTTTTCAACTAAAAGCAGATGATTAATTGAGCTCCAACTTTATTCTGTCTTTGAAGAACAGATTAATTAGTTTACTTGAAAAGAAATCTTTTCATTTGTACTTCCATGTCACCTGTGCTTTTCCCTGCCTTCCACCCACAGCCCTGCCAGCTGGCAGGAAGAAGGTCAGCAAAGCTGCTGATAAGAGGTGTATAAAGAGGTTGGCTCAAGGCAAGGGACAGTGGTCTACTCTGCTGACAACATGCTGTGCTTCCTGGTGTTCGCCACCCTAGTCCTTTATGGTAAGTGGATCATTTGACCTGAGTTCCACAGTAAGGGGGTTTGATCCGGAGGGTGGGAAAGCCTTCCCTATGCTGGAGCCAGCTGCCTATCCCAGAGGAGAGTGGGATGCTCTGCCTGTGAATCCAGCAAAAGTTTTACTTTTCTGGAGCACATGATAGGAAAGATCAGGGCCATGGTAAGACCCTTCTGGATGGCAGTTCTCTGAATCATTAAGTAGAAAGAAGCCCCTTCTGGGGGTACCTGGGCTTCTCCACCAGCCTCCTTCACCGAGGACATCCTCAGCCAGTGCCCACCTGGGATGTGCATGTCTGTCCCTGTCCCCTGGAGAATCCTGCTAAAGTATGGGAGAAGATTTTTCTCCAGCCCAGGGTGACCTTGGGTGAGCTAAGATCACAGGGTCCTCTAGTCCCTAGCTTGGTGATTTTGGATAGGTCCTTCACAGCAAGACAGAATTTCAGGACTCCTGGGACTTCTGGCACTGCAGACTCCCTTACTTTCAAAAAATGGCTCAGAGAACTCAGAGCTGGGCCTCTCTTTTGTTAGGAAAGAGCTGTGAATTTGCAGACAAAGCTAACATTCCTCAAAGCACAACCACCACTCCCCACCCCCACCCCCACTTCCACCCAGGGCTGACCCCATGCTTAGTCATCACTCACTTTTCTTCTGTCCCACAAAGGAAACAGCATCCCGAACTTTCCAGAAACTAATGCTCGGGTCGTTGGAGGGACTGAGGCCCAGAAGAATTCCTGGCCCTCTCAGGTGGGTGTTCCTTCACAGCCCAAACTTTTACCCAAATAAGAGTTGCTGCACACTCATAAAAAGTGTTGTGCTTGTCTGTGTGCATCCTGATCAACAGGCAGCTCTCCAACTGTCTATTTTAAAGATGGATGGGACCAGGCTTGTGTGGATTTCTAAATGCAAAAGCCTTGCAAGAAGGTATTTGAATACCAGCCATACTCTCCCAGACATGCACCCAAACACAACGACTTTTATACCTCAGAGACACTACTATGACACACCTGTAGGACTATGTGCTAGACCCACACACTGGGCTCCACATACCTTCAAGCACGCATGCCCTCACCAGCGCATGAAGTACAAATGTACACGCACCACACAGTACTACACGCATTGAGCGCTGTGCTTATTTGGCTAGAGTTACCACTTGCTTCATGCAGGAGCTGGCCCCTGATCCAAGCAAATGTAAATATATAAAACTGGCAGCCTGGGTGCAGTGGGGCAAGCCTGTAATCCCAGTAGTTTGGGAGGCCAAAGCGGGAGGATCACAAGTTCAAAATCAGCCTCAGCAACTTAGTGAAGTGCTAAGTGACTTAGCAATACTCTAAGCAATTTAACAATACTCTGTCTCAAAAAATAAAAAATAAAATAAAATAAAATAAAAAGGGATAGGGATGTAGCCCAGTGGTTAAACACCCCTAAGTTAAATCCCTGGTACCAAAAAATCAAAAACTGGCATATTGATTGGTGAATAGCCACACCTGGAAGTTCAACTAGATTCAATTTATGACAGTTTGAGCCCCAATCTTCAGGAGATTCGCTGTGTGATACAAGGAAGCATGAACTTAAAAAAAAAAAAAAAGCATTGCATTGGCATTTCTAAGTATTCCCTGGGTTGGGGGTACAGGATACTTCTTGAAAACATTGAAGGGAGAGCTCTTGAGAACTAAATGGTATAGGGCTTAGATGAAGGAGTTACAACTGGATACATTTCCTTTCCAACAGGGTACAGAGGTAAAAGGACCTGGGCTCTAGGCCCATTGCAACACTAGCCTATAAATGCCAAATACAGTATTGTGCCTTTATTTCCCTATCCATGTGCACAGCAAACATCACCAAACAATGGAGCACTCTTTCCAGCTGACCCCAGAAACATCTATGCACCCCTTCTCAACAACACCCCTGAGTAGCCATTACCAAACAAACAATAGTAATTGACTGGTCAAAGGAAACCTGCCTGCTCTCCCTAGTCCAGAAAGTTAAGAGAATGTGCTGAGGGAAGTCAGGAATTTAAGGTGACATGTTTGGGGGCAAAGACTTTGGGCAAACACCAGCCTATTCGTCTTTTCTTTCCTTCCCGTCTAGGTTTCCCTCCAGTACCAGTCTGGAAGTTCCTGGTTTCACACTTGTGGAGGGACCCTTGTCAAAGAGAACTGGGTGTTGACAGCGGCTCACTGCGTGGACCAGTGAGAAAAAAACAAAGAATAACATTTCTGAGCCCCTGGGAGGGAAAAAGTTTCCTTTTTGGAGAAATAGGCAACTTTGACTTATACTGGGGCAGTATAATATGGGTGTGGGCAGTGAGCTATTGCCCAGCCCATCTGTGTTTAGGAGTCAGTGGAGCAAGGGTATGAGAGAAAAGTACAAGTTTTGGAGTCAGGAAGGATCCCTTCCAAATTTTGTTGCACTATCTCCTACCCATGTAACCTTGGGCAACTTACTTAGCTCCTCTAGTCTCCCATTCTCTTATCTCTAAAACTAGGTAATAATACCTATTTTGTAGAGCCGTTATGAGGAGTGAGTAAATATCTAAGTGCCTAGTCAACATAGGACTAAAGCCGTTTGTTCATATTTGTCATGAGCAGAAGTTCTCATTTTTGAGCATGAATCACCTGGTGTACCTCTAATCCCAGCAACTTGGGAGGAAGCTGAGCAGGAGGATCACAAGTTTGAGGCCAGTCTCAGCAACTTAATGAGACTCCATCTCAAAATAAAAAAAAATACAAAGGACTGGGGATGTAGCTCAGTGGTAAAGCACCCCTGGGTTCAATCCCGTGTGTGTGTGTGTGTGTGTGTGTGTGTGTGTGTGTGTGTGTGTGTGGTGTGTGTTTGTGTGTGGGTCACCTGGAAGGCACAAGGCTCCACTCAGCAAAGTTTCTGATTTGGTTAGTCCTGGATGAGGCTGGTTCCAGGACCACAATTACTAGCTGAGAAGTTTGTACTTCCTTTAAAGTCCCTCTGTGGCTAAGAGCCATGATTTCATTATGCTTACTAGGTGAAGATGTCCCAGGTGAAGATGTTTAGCTTAATAAACCGTGAACATGAAGTTGATAGTAAGTTTTTCCACTTCCACAAGTCAGTAGTAAATTAAGGAATGAGAGAGCTTGTTACTTCCTCCTCTTGGAGGGTCTTCCATCCTTGTCTGCGGGCCAACTAAGATGGGTTCCTATCCTAAAGATAAAAGAGGGCTTTTCAACTTTCCTCTCAGGAGGAAAGGAGCCTCCTGAATCACTCAGGGCTTTCCCCTCTCACTCCAGCCCAATGGTCTTCCGTGTGGTGGCTGGGGACCACAACCTCGGAAAGGAAGAAGGGACGGAGCAGTACATGGAAGTGGATAAGATTGTGATACACCCGCACTGGGACAGCAAGGACGTGGCTGCCGGGTAGGGACAAGGCGGAACTGGGAGGTGGAAAGCTGATGAGCCAGCTGCTGGATCTAGTTGGGTCTTGGTTCTCCCAGAGGCTAGAGGGGCATGCATTCCCTGAAACTTGGTGGCTTATGGGGCCTTTGATGAGGAGTCTGGAGAATCTCTGGGCACTGTGTCCTACAGGGAGTAATAAACTGGCTCATTCATCCAGAAGAACTTTGAGAATTTAGATTGGGGAGGGCTTGAGAATTTCTGAAGATCTTTAGGATTTGTTTGATGTAGGTGGGTTTGCGTGATTTGATTAAGTGAAGGCCCTTCTCTCTATTTTAATGTCTCTAGGCTTTATTTGTTTGTTATTATTTATTATTCACTTTATGGAATACACTCTATAAGTAAAGGGAGATTTTCTTTTCTTTTGGTGCTGGAGAAGAAACTCAGGGCCTCAGGCATGTTAAGCACTCGCTCTCCCACTGGGCTAAGACCCAGTGTCAAAAGGAAATTTCTTAAAATGAACCTTACATAAAACCAAGTTGTAAACTTTTGGGGAAGAAATTATTTAAAAAAAATTTTTTTTTAGTTGTTGACAGATCTTTATTTTATTCATTTATTTATATGTGGTGCTGAGAATTGAACCCAGTGCCTCACACATGCAAGGCAAGTGCTCTACCACTGAGCCACAACCCCAGCCCTGGGGAAGAAATTATTAAAGTGATTTTTTTCAAGGCTTTGGATTTACCTCAGTGGTAGAGCATTTGCCTATCATGAATGAAGACCCAGGTTTCATCCCCAACACCAAAAGAAAGAAAGAGAGAGAGAGAGAGAGAGAGAGAGAGAGAGAGAGAGAGAGAGAGAGAGAGAGGGAGAGAAGGAAAGAAAAAGTTAAAAAGAAAGAATAAAGGAAAAAAGGTGATAATTCTGTAGAGTGTGGAGGTGGGGATGGGTACAAGTATTGGGACACTTCTGCAGAGCTTTCAGAGCCATGCAGTCTTTCACATCTTTCTTTAAAAGCTGCCCCCAATATGCCATCTGCTCCATTCTGATTACCCATTCTCCACTTCCCAGGGATGCACAAATCAGAGCCAGGCTGCAATACAAAAGTTTCTCCAGCAGATGGTGCTGTTAAACATATAATGTCCTACTGTAAACTCAAATGCTTAGCAAGTTAGCTTCCTTCTTGCAAGTGTTGGTTTCCAGATGGATAGAGTGACAAAAGCTTAGTACTGACCAGTGCCAATGCTGATCAGAGGGAAGACCTGATTCCACCAGTGAACTGTCTCCTTTCCTCCTGCAGCCATGACATCGCCCTGCTGCGCCTAACCCAGAGCGTTACCCTCAATAGTTATGTCCAGCTGTCTGCTCTGCCCCTGAAAGGAATCATTCTGAGAAACAAATATCCTTGCTCCATCACAGGCTGGGGCAGGACCAGGAGTAAGTTATCTACATTGGCACCATCTACCGCTGGGATCTTGATAATGCAGCTAAGCTTCTGGAGTATATCTTTCTGTGGTTCTAGGTGTTTATAGTCAGAGACCAACAACCTAAAGACCATAGATAAAATAACTGATACATGAAACTAAGCTAAGAACAGGCTGTGGAATAGTCAAGTCAGCGATTCATAGACCCTAAGAACTAAAAAAGACTTCACCTGGGTGCAATGACTCATGCCTGTAATCCCAGCCACTCAGGAAACTGAGGCAGTAGGATTGCAAGTTTAAGGCCAGCCTCAGCAATTTAGTGATGACCCTAAGCAACTTTAGCAAGACCCTGTCTCAAAATAAAAAAAAATAAATAAAAGGACTGGGGATGTGACTCAGTGGTTAATTGTCCCTGGGTTTAATTCCCAGTATAAAATAAATAAATAAATACATAGATAGATAGAATGATTGATAAGACTTCTTACATGAAGAAACTAAGGCCCAATGAAATTAAGGACCTTAATCACATGACTAGTTAGTACAAATATGGATTCAGAAGCCAGGCATCCTGGGTCTCACGTTATTGGTAATTATACTATCATGCTACCTCCATAGACAGGTACTGGGCTGAGTTGGAGTAAATGAACCAGGAGTAGCTATAGATCCTCATGAGTCAGGGCAGAGGAAGTCTCAGTCCCCTTCTGATCATTATGAGATTTCAAATAGGGAATATTATTCAGAAAATATGGAAAGGTAGGAAGGCTATGAACAGAAATAGGAAGGAACATTAATCTTGATGCAAAAGACTGTCAGCCACAAGGTGATACTTTCTTTACTGAAGGACAGGCAAGTCATGCTGTGACCAGCCAGTCCATTGGGAAAACCTAGAGCTGAAAGAGACATGCTTCTAATCCAACTCTGCCCTCCTGTCAGTTCATTGAATGTCACTGTGGTTCAATTTCTTGATCCATAACATTAAGCATTGTTGCAATGATCCAAAGAAATAGCACATGGCATCAGAATGAGAATGGTTCTGTTTTAGTAACTTTATCCTCACAGAATCTCAAAGTTGAAAGGAGCCTTAAAATTTGTCTTTCTTGAAGACTTTGAAAAGCCACAAGAGTCAAATAAAAACAGCTGCACCAGGCTCTTAAGAAATAAAAACAGGTGTGCGTGATAACTGTTCTACTTGTATTGTAAGGAGTAGGACAGACAGATGAGTTGTCAACAAATAAGGCCTTTCTAATTCCTTAACACAGTTATCCATGAGTGATAGAAAGCAGGAATAGGATTCTTGGTTTAGAAACTGGGAACAATAAGCAAGGATACCTCCCCAAAGGAAGAAGCCGGTAGCTGCCATATAAGGAGGAGAGAGGCCAGCCTGGGCAACTTAGCAAGACATTGTCCCAAAATAAAATTAAAAGGGCTGGGGTATTGCTCAGTGGTAGAACCCTTGCCTAGCACGTGAGAGAAGAGAGAGGAGGATTCATGACCTATGACAAGCAGAGAGAAGGAGCTCACCCTGACTCCATGGTACACCAAAGCTTGGGACAGTTTAGCAGGGTATGGAAGGATTTTTCCCTAGTCAGCATCAGGGGCTGACTTCCAGTGTTGTATGCCCTGTTTAGCCGAAGGACGGCTAGCCCAGACCCTTCATCAGGCGCCCATGCCCACCGTGGATCATGCCACCTGCTCTCACCCTTCCTACTGGGGTTCCGCTGTGAAGACCACCATGATGTGTGCTGGTGGAGATGGAGTTAGCGCTGGATGTCAGGTAAAAATTACAAGCATCAGAAGTCCCACTTCATTGCTTTCCCCTCTGCTCTCTCCACTTCCCTCTACCTTTGGCTCACTCCACTCCTACTGTGGTATCCACATACAGTCTCCACTTCCTATTCTGGTATCAGAGTGAAAATGGTTCTGTGTTAGTAACTTTATCCTCGCAGAATCTCAAAGTTGAAAGGAGCCTTAAAATTTGTCTTTCTTGGGCCGGGGTTGTAGTTCAGTGGTAGAGCACTTGCCTAGCATGTGTGAGGTCCTGGGTTTAATTCTCAGCACTGCATATAAATAAATAAAATAAAGGTCTATTGATAACTAAAAAAATATTAAAAGAAAAAAAATTTTGTCTTGCTTGCCACACCTATAATCTCAGCTATGTGAGAGGCTGAGGCAGAAGGATCGAAAGTTTAAAAGCAGCCTAGGCAATTTAACAAGACCCTGTCTCAAAAAATAAAAAAGCCTGGGGATATAATCTAGTGGTAAGGCATCCCTGAGTTTAATCCCTAGTACCATCCCCCAAAAGTTTTGTTTTACTTAATGTCCCCACCTCAGAAGCTTGTATATGGCCTAATATTTGTATATTGGTATATATGTATGTTCTTCAGAACTTGTGACCTAGATTTTTTATGACAGGAATGGGGCTGGGGCTGGAAAGATGGTTGTAATTGGGTGTAAGGTAGCTCCCACTCCTATCAATCCCAATTGTTCCTGTATTTCCTCCATTACCACCCCTTTACCCCAGTAGTATTTACAGCAGTAGGTTACAAGAGAATATGGTAAGGGAAAGTACACAAAATAATTTTATAATAGTTTTTATATAATAGAATTTTACTCTGTTTAGACAAGATCAGTCAGCAATAAGTCATATTATAGATTTCTTTCTTTTTTCTTTTTTGGTGCCCAAATTGGATTTGACCCAGGGGTGCTTTACCTCTGAGCTATATCCCAACCCTTTTTCATTTCTATTTTGAGACAGGATTGCTCACTAAGTTGCTGAGGGTCTTGCTAAATTGCTGAGGCTAGCCTCAAGTTTTTGTTTCCCCTGCCTCAGCCTTCCAAGTTGCTTGGAATTACAAACATGAGCCACCACGCCCAGCCACTTTACAGATTTCTTAATGCAGTTCAACAATGGTGTGTAATCTATTACGTGCCAAGCACTGTGCTAGGTGCTAGGGATACAAAGGTGAATGAATCAGACAATGTCAAGTGGGGGAGCATCCAGTAGGATATTAGAATACATTGTGACTAAGTGTTAAAATAAAGACACGCAGAGAGTGATATGGGGACCTGAGGACAAGTACTCATGGAGTCAGAGAAGAACTTTCTCCAAGAAAGTAAAATGTGCTGTGAGTCCTAAAGGTTAAATAGAAGGAAGCCAGACCAAAAAAAAAGGGTGGGGGTGGGGGTGGGAAGACATTTAGAAAAGGGAACAGCATGAATAAAGACATTAGTTGAATCTTAGAACACATGAAGAATTACTGGGCGTTCCCTATGAACGGAGAAGAGGTTTAAGGGCCTCTTCTTAAAGCAGAGCAGAGGTTTAAGGGCCACATGCCAAATCCAGCCTGCTGCCTGATTTGGTATGGTCCATTTTGATAGTTAGGGGAAAAAAATCAAAAGAATAATATTTTAGGGGCTGGAGTTGTGGCTCAGTGGTACAGTGCTCACCTAGTGCAGGTGAGGCACTGGGTTCGATCCTCAGCACTACATAAAAATAAGTAAATAAAAATAAAGGCATTGTGTCCACCTACTATATATATATATATATATATATATATATATATATATATATATATATAATTTTTTTTAAGAATAATATTTGATGACATGAAAAATATATAAATTTGCAGTGTTCTAAATGACATTTTTTTGGGGGGGACATGGCCTCAGCTGATTTACATAGTGTTTTAGGGCTGCCTTTGTACTACAATATAAAGGTTCCAACAGAGATTGTATGGCCTCCATGATTTGCATGATTTGAATATTAAGCTAACTGATAAAAAATTAGATATAAGAAAGAGGAACTGGGGGCAGAAAGTGGGGTTGGAGACACTTGAGAGCAACTGATATTCTACCTCCCACCCCAGGGAAAAGTAGAATGAAAAGCAATGCGTTAGGGAAAAACTACAAGAACATAAATGCTTGAGTGCTTTAGGGCCAGGTGAAGAACAAAGAACTCACTAGAGTTCTAAGTAAGAGAGGAAGAGTAGAGTTAGAGAAAAATGTGTAGCAGGGATTTACAGAATCTCAGGAAATACTGCAGGTCATCACACAGTGTGGCTACTTTGGCAACTGGCCAATCACTGTTAATCACAGCAAGAGCAGTTTCAGTGGTGATGGCAGAAGCTCAATCAAAGAGTAAGGAATGTGGGCTAGGGTTATAGCTCAGTGATAGAGCGCTTGCCTAGCATGTGTGAGGCACTGGGTTCAGTCCTCAGCACCTCATAAAAATAAATAAAATAAAGGTATTGTGTCCGTGTACAACAAAAAAAATTTTTTTAAAAAGGGTAAGAAATAAAGAGGCAGTAAGAAAAATTGCAGAGAATGTAAATAACTCTCCCAAGAATCTTGGATGAATGGGAGGAACAGAAAAAGTCTGGTACTTTTAATGACAGCAAATCATGGAGGGGATGTATCTTTTAAAAGGGAAAGAAACTGAGTGCAAAGTTAGAAAGGGAATAATGGATGGTACAAGATCCCAGAAGAGAAGGGAGAGATGGAACCAAGAGCACAGAGGGAACTGACTTTGACGAGGAGGAGGGACACCAGACATACACATGAATGTGAAAGAGTTTGTAGGGTGGGTAGCTGCAAGTTGTCAGGTGTTCTGTATTATTGCTTCTGGTTACTCATGAACTAGGAAGAGTCCACTTGACTGCTAAAAATGAAGGTGCAAAGGTTATATGCATTTGGAATAAAGAGGTGAAGGGAAGGAAGATTGTCCTCCAAGGTGTTGAAGTTGGAGACCATGTAGTGACCCCCTGGATGTATACTCCATCTTACTCACAGACCCAGATGGAGGGAATGGATTAATCCAGACCTGGGTTTCTTGCATGACTCTGGAAATTGAACAGAACTGCAGATCAACTACAAGGTACAAGCTACATGGAGGAGGAAGAGATGTCACTAGGAGGAAGCTGGTTGGATGGCTGAAATAGTAGGATGACAGAATTAAAGGGATTTTTGTGACACACACACACCCAAAGAATTATGGAAATAAGGTGACCAACTTACCCCAGTTTTTCTATGACTTTCCCAGTGTTAAAACTTAAATGCCAAGAGAAACAGACTAATGCATATGTAACCTTTTCTAAGTCCTCATCAGTCTATAACTGTTCCTTGTTTTTTAGTTGTAGATAGACACAATACCTTTATTTTATTCATTTATTTTTATGTTGTGCTGAGGATCAAACCCGGTATCTCACACATGCTAGGCAAGTGCTTTGCCACTGAGCTACAGTCCCAGCCCAGTCTATAACCTCTTAAGATTTATATCTTTCTGAGTAAATTTCACACCTTTCTGCTTTCTCAAGGCTTAGAACTCTGAAAAACCAGGGTAATTCTCTTCCAGCTGCCACCAAATTGTTAATTCTCTGAGACAATTGTGTTTCTAGGTGTTTTCCCACTGGAGTTTCCCAAATAGTGTCTTGTGGCCTTTCAGAATTCTGAGTTCCCTTCTCCTCAGAGTGAATTCACAGGGCTGCTCCTGATTCAATGGACCCATTTCCAGTAAATTCTTTTTCAGCTCTTCTTTCTGCCCTAAAATCCTCAGCCATACTCTCCACCCTTCAGAACCCCTTCTCTTTCCGATCAATTAGCATAAGACAATGGTATTTCATACAATTTAATTATCTTCTGTTCCTGTAGCTCTGAAAAACTGTCAAATCCCTGGTAGGATATAGAAAGGAGATTCAGGTTGTTTTGTTTTGATTATAGTAGTCTAAAAAGAAAAAATTTTCCTAAGCAGTTGGGGTGGGGTACAGCTAGTTCCTCTCTAAAAGAATTCTCTCCAATTTGAACTTTTGGTGTTTTCTTTCCTTTCCTGTTTTGTTTTGTTTTGTTTTTAAGGTTAAGTTTTATTGAAGCTATACCTATCAAATTGCTTAAACTGGCAAATAAGACCAAGAGACTCCATAGTGAAAAAGAATAATCAGTATAAATAAAAGAATAATAAAAGAGGGGTCCGCTTTTAACTCTTTCCACTGATTCTTTTGCAGTCTACCTCCATCTATGGGAAAAAAAAGAATATATATATAGTAGATGGACACAATAACTTTATTTATTTAATTAATTTTTAAATATTTTTTAAGTTATCGATGGATCTTTATTTATTTATATATGCTGCTCAGAATCAAACCCAGTGCCTCAGACATATCAAGCAAGCGCTCTACCACTGAGCTACAACACCAGCCCCTAAAATATATATTTAACATTACTACTTAACTTTTCAGTTCAGGTATTATGGAATATATGGATCTCTCTTATGCCCACACATTGTCTGTCTCCTTCTGCCAGCCATGAGCTTTTCCCATCACCTCCTCAAACTCTCTACCACCCCCAAATATTTTTGATTAGATTAACAATCAGTGTTTATTATGATTATGTAAAATGCTATTCACAAGTAAATCATGTAGTATTCTATGATTACTTTTTCTTTCTCATGTTAATTTTGTTTTCTCTGGAGTCAGTAACTTTTTCATTTGCTGAATACATAGTCAGTTCATCACTAATTCAACTCTACATTCTCCTCTATTTTTTTTTTTTTTTGCTGGTAACAGCTTTTTTTTTTTAATTGAATTTATTTTTTAAATACATGACAGTGAGGGGCTGGGGTTGTGGCTCAGCGGTAGAGCGCTCACCTCACATGTGTGAGGGCCTGGGTTCGCTCCTCAGCACCACATAAAAATAAATAAATAAAAGTATTGTGTCCAACTATAACTAAAAAATGACAGTTGAATGCATTACAATTCTTATTACACGTATAGAGCACAATTTTTCATATGTCTGTTTGTATATAAAGTATATTCACACCAACTCATGTCTTCATACATGTACTTTGGATAATGATGTCCATCACATTCCACCTTCATGGCTAACCCCCTGCCCCTCCCTTTCCCTCCCACCTCTCTGCCCTATCTGGAGTTCTTCTATTCCTCCCACGCTCCCTCTCTCTACCCCACTATGAGTCAGTCACCTTATATCAGAGAAAACATTCGGCATTTGTTTTTTTGGGATTGGCTAACTTCACTTAGCATTATCTTCTCTAACTGCATCCATTTACCTGCAAGTGCTATGATTTTATTCTCTTTTCCCAGCCTTAATATTATTATTATTTTAAAATTTGAAACAGGATTTTGCTAAATTTGCCAAGGTTGGCCTTGAACTTGAGATCCTCCTGCCTCTGGAGTAACTAAGATTTCAGGGCTGAGCCACCATGACCAGCTTCTCCACTAATTTTTAACCTACCTGTTTCAGCTACTCTTACCACTATTGGTCTGTGTCTTGGTGAAGGTCTATTTATATTTATTATGAGGGATACTTAGTGGGGTTTTTTCTTTGTAGAAACTCCAAATCTTTGGTTCTGAAAAATGTTTATTCTTAATAGTTTTCCCCTACATTCTTAGTTTTCTCTTTCTAGAATTTTTTGTTTGTTGGTTGGTTGGTGCTGGAGCTGAAACCCAGGCCTTTTCGTATGCTGCTCGACCACTGAGCTGCATACACCACTGCCCCCAGCCCTTTCTAGAATTTTTGTTGTTCATATGTTTATCTCCTGGTCCTCTCCTGTATATTTTGTTTGTTCACTCTATGTTCCAACACTCCCAAACTTTCATTTCTACTATCAGATTTGTAAATTTTTGTTCTCTAACCATACTGTTTAATGACGTTTCTCTTGTATCATGGATGCAATATTAACTATAGTTTTTTTTAAAGAGAGAGATTTTTTCATATTTTTTTTTTTTAGTTTTCGGCAGACACAACATCTTTGTTTGTATGTGGTGCTGAGGATCGAACCCGGGCCACACGCATGCCAGGCGAGCGTGCTACCGCTTGAGCCACATCCCCAGCCCTTAACTATAGTTTTATTGCTTATTTTCTTTTTTCTCCCTGCATAGAGTTTGCCTTCACTTTTTATTCCTTTACCCCTCTCTCTTAGTTTTTATTTATGTATGTATGTATGTATGTATGTTTTGTGGTGCTGGGGATTGAACCCAGGACCTTGTGCATGTGAGGCAACTGAGCCATATCCCCAACCCCTTATTTTTTATTTTGTTCAGAATTTGGGATTGAACCTAGGGATCTTCTAATTTTATGTCTGGTATTATACACCTGGCATTCTAAAAGCTGAGTAAGAACGGTATCGAGATCCTAGTCTGTAAACCTCTGGGTCATTGTACTGCTAAGCCTGAGCACATAACCATTACCTTATTCATCACTTTCTCTTCTCTTTACCACACTTAATTTAACATGTGTTGATTACCTACTCTCTGAACATTTTGGTATAATTAGACCCATTGATCTAAATACTGGGGATAAAGGAATTATTAGAACTATGTACTTCTCCTATCCCAGGCTCAATTTAAGTCAACTATTGAATTTATGATGTTCAAAATTCAATTTGGGTACAGTGGCACATCCCTATAATCCCAATGACTTGGGACACTGAGGCAGGAGGATCACAAGTTTAAGGCCAGCATGGGAAAAAATAAAAAATAAAAGGGGCTGGAATGTAACTTGGTAATAGAGCTCTTGCCCAGCATGTGCAAGACCATGGATTCAATTCTCAGTACTACAAAAATAAACAAATAAAATAAAATGACTGTGGGTATAGTTTAGTAGTAGAGATCCCTAGGTTCAATCCACAGTACTGCCAAAAAAAAAAAAAAAAAGAGTTCAAAATTCTGTGCTTGGGCTAAGGATGTAGCTCAGTGGCAAAAGTATGTGCTTAGCATGGGCAAAGCCCTGGTTTTCCATCCCCAGCACCACAAAAACAAACAACAAAAGCGTTCTATGCTAGCATTGTGAAGAGGAATGATACCAGTAAGATATAGTTCCTGACTTAGAAGTTCATAGATATGTGTGGGAGGCAGAAGCAAATTATGAAACCAAAATACAAGGCAACTGCTGCAAAGAGAGGAAGAAGTGCTTTGGTTGTTTAGAAAGGAAGAAGAAATTCATTTTGATTGTGAAGATATGATGGAAGTAGATAATTGAACTGCAGTTTTAAAACTATACAAGATCTCACAAAAAGAAAGGGGTAAGCAGGGGCTGGGATTGTAGCTCAGTGGTAGAGTGTTTGCCTCGAACATGTGGAGCACTGGGTTTGATCCTCAGCACCATATAAAAAAAGGTAAATAAGTGAAATAAAGGTATTGTGTCCATTTACAACTAAACACACACACACACACACACACAAAGAGGGGTGGGGGTGGGATGAGCAGACCATAAGCCAAGGCAGAAAGATCAAAAAATCTAGTTTTAGGACTCTGCTTCTCTTCCTTGCAGGGTGATTCTGGAGGTCCCCTCCATTGCTCGGTGAGAGGCAAGTATTCTGTCTACGGAGTGACCAGCTTTGTGTCCAGCCTGGGCTGTAATGTCTCCATGAAGCCCACAGTCTTCACCCGAGTCTCTGCTTACATCTTTTGGATAAATAGAGTGAGTCCTCTCAAATAATGGGATGAAACAGGTTACCTTGAGATCCATATACTGGCTGGGTTAGGGAGCAAAAGGTGGGCTGGGACAATAATTGTTTTCCTTATGTAAAGTTCCTTCCCTTCCCCTAGAGGGGAAGTGTACTTTCCCTCCATATTACTGAGTTCCCTTTCCCATTGAGCAGACTTCACTGTATTGCTTATTAGCTTAGGCTAAGATTGGGGCAACCATAGATCTGAACCAGGCACATATCCTAATTCAAAGTCAAGGGAAAATGAAACTCAGAAACGCCTGTGGGGCCCTCAGGCATGCTCCTTTCCCACAGTTTCTTTCTAAGGGCATTTTGAGAATTTGCTTTAACTTTTGAAAGAAATTTTACCACCTTAAGCAGTGCTTGAGAGTTAAGTGAGACTCTACCTACACTGATGTGGTAGTAGAGCCACATAATACATCTCACTGTGTACTTGTAATGCATCCTGGAGTCTTGTGACATGAATCTTGGCTCACAGCAATTTCAAAGTCTGTCCTTGCTGCTATGTCCTGAGCATATACCTATAATACTGACATATCTAAGACCTAATCTCTTTATCCCCATCCTTATAAACCCATCATAGGGCCGTACTTAATTGGGAGTCTTAAAAAACTAAGAAAGAAGGTAGACAGAAGTTACTGACTGTGGGTTAGGTGCTATAACACGCACCTGTAATCCCAGCTGAGGTAGGAAAATCCAAGTTCAAAGCCAGCCAACTTGGTGAGACCTTGTCTCAGATTTAAAAAAAAATAAAAAGGCTTGGGCTGTAGCTGAGAGGTAGAAGTGGTAGAGGTGGTAGAGCATCTCTGAGTTCAATTCTTGTACCACCAAAAAAAAGAAGTTACTGACTGTGGACATAACTGTTTTTTTTTTTTTTCCTTTAGGTTTTTGAAAACAACTGAACATTATCTTGAGTCCATTGGTCTTCCAAAGATGGTTCTTAGATCTGCAATAGGACTTGAGATCAACAAGGGAAAAACAGGATTGGGGGTATAGCTCAGTGTAGTTTGCTTACCTAGCATGACCAAAGCCCTGGGTTTGATTCCCAACGGGGTGGGGTGGGGGCACAATCTAAGAGACTATTGAATGAGAGATAAAAAAAAAAGCAAATAAAAATGAATGTACACTATCATACTATGTCTATTTGTAATTAAGCCCTCTAGAGGAAATGAAGTTATAGGACCCACTTTGGATTTCACCATATCTGTGGGCTGCTTCTTCCTTTTTGCTTCTATCTTTACCAGTTCACAAACTAAGCCTAGGAGGAGCAGTTTTACATTATCCATTTTAGGCTATTTTAGGAACTCCTTATCCATTAATTTATTCATATGCCCCCCTCCTATGCATATTTGCTATATTGAAAGGCATAAAGTTCTTTTAAAAGTTCCTTAGTGACCAAATGTGCCCTAACTCCTCAAGATAGACTGTGGGCTCATCCTCCTTATGTTTCCCCCTCCAGTGCCTAGAACAAATGCTTACCCTAAGCTTCTGGGCAACAGGAACTACAAGAATATACTAGAGCTGGACATGGTGGTGCACACCTGTAATCCCAGCAGCTCAGGAGGCTGTGGCAGGAGGATCATGAGTTCAAACCAGCCTCAGCAACTTAATGAAGCCCTAAGCAATTCAGTCAGACCATGACTCTAAATAAAATATTTTAAAAGGGCTAGGGGCATGGCTCAGTGGTTAAGTGCCCCTAGGTTCAATCCCCAGTTCCAAAAAAAAAAAAAAAAAAAAAGATACACTAGAGATAGGAGTATAGGATTAGGTTGGTAGGACAGATGCCAGAACACTAAGGAAGTGGCAAGTTAGGGGACTGGGGAACAAAGAATTAAAAACAAACCAGATTTTAAATAAAGAGAAAGAAGATACTAAACAAACAAAGGAAAAGGTTGAGGGGGAGATGCAGAACAGAAAGGAAGAGGCAACAACAGGATGGGGCCTCAAGCTAAGTGTGAATCAGCACTTTAAGGCTGGTACTAAAATAAGCAACTGGATCCAGGGTTCTATAAACCACAGAGAACTGGGAAACTGATAATTTTGCTCTGTCCTAGCAAGGGCTCAGTCTGTTAAGAGTGGCCTAGGAGAAAGCAAAGGGGGAAATGAAAGAAGAAGTCTAAGCAGATGAGAAGCTGCTTTTCATAACCATCACTAAAGGCCAGAGAGGAGGGACTAGGGTAGTAAACATTACAGCAGGGGAAATTAGCTAAAACAGGTCCTGAAATTGGTCCTATTATATCAACAGAGGCTTCCAGAATGTGGTATATACTATAAGAGCTGGGCTGGTGTCAGGACACCTGAGTTCCTGTCCATTGAATTAGAGGGGGTAGCTTGGGCAAATTAATCCTTTTCTATCACTTGATTTACCTATCTAGTCAACTTCTAAGTATTGTTCCTGCTCTAATACTAAATGACTGGGTGACCATCAAATTCAGTTCCCAAGATACTGGCACTGAAGAGAGTTTCCTAGAAGGTAGTAGCTGCGATGCATTGCTAAGAGTGCTGTGGAGTCTTGGGAATGACCCTAGGTATCAGCTTCCTTCTGCTAGTGATGCACCTGTTGTCATTGTTATCTTCTCTTGGTGTCCCAGCAGCATCACCATCCTCTGCATTTCTTTCCTCTCCCCTCCATCCAACATCAAATCCTTCCATCTTTACCATTATGGCTCTCACAGATGATCACAAAAGCTAAAATCAGAATAAACACTAATCACTTATTGCCTGAAATTTTTGTGTCCATTTCTGTAAATGAACTAAGCAGACTACAGTGGAATCATCTGATTACCAACCTAGCTCCACCAGACTGTGAACATCTTGAGGTCAGGGGCTGCATTGTATTCATCCTTGGCTTCCCAGCACCAGCAATGCCTGGCACACAGTTTAGTTTGAGTGCACTGTGTCTACTGGGGGCGGGGAAGAAGTGCAAAACAACAGCAGGTAATTTTGTGGAAGGCCTCCAACTTCTTGGGAAGTATATTTTGATCTCCTTTCCTTCCTTGAAAGAATTTAATATGCACTGTAGAATCCATTTTTTTTAAAGAGAGAGAGAGAGAGAGAGAATTTTAATATTTATTTTTTAGTTTTCAGCAGACACAACATCTTTTTTTTGTATGTGGTGCTGAGGATCGAACCCGGGTCCGACGCATGCCAGGCAAGCGCGCTACTGCTTGAGTCACATCCCCAGCCCCACACTGTAGAATCCTTGAATAAATGGTTCCTCCAAATGTAATATCCTAATTTCCAGCTAACCCCTCAAACAGGTCAGAGAGTAACTTCCACATCCACATCTCTAAAGAGACAACAGTTGTCATCTCAGTAGCCCCACCCTAATTTGCACAATCTGTGTCTGAGTTCACATTCGGCTTCCATCTAGTATACTGCACTCCAACTAGAAAAACTTGCTCCCCGTCCCCTGCACAGGTTCCCATACTCAGTCCTTTTTTTTTAAATAAGATCGCCTCATTTTCTCTCTGCAGTTGTTGCTCCCTTTCACATCCATATCTGGAGCCCTGGCTCCTTTCGGCACTCTCTCACTAGCAATTCCAGACTTAGGCATTAGCTAAACCGCAACATGGGGCAAGAAATACAGTTGACTTGCCCACGCCACACGAATACTCCTAGAACTGAGAGACGTTTTCTGATACAATAAATAGTCACAGTGAGTTGAACTCAACATTTTCTGCCAGGTTGTTTGTTATTTTCCAATGTTGATGTGCTGGCTAATTTGTTTTCTGGAAGGAATGAGTCTAGGCTCACATTTGAAGATCCTGTTCAATGGGGTCGATGTTCCCCTGCCACCAGGCAAAGTGAGGACCAAATGACCCAGCCTGGGGATGTCCCCACGGGGCCCTCAGCCTGCTACTCTGGGCTGCACCCTGAGCTGGGTTGTTTGGGGCTGTGGATGGGCCTTGGCGTCTGCGGCCCAGGCTTCAAGGCTGGGGGTGTCTTTGGTGTGGGGCTGGGGTGGCCTGTAGAGCCTGGCCAGTGCAGGGCAGCCCTGGGGGCAGGAGGGCAGCCCTGGGGGCAGGAGGGCAGCCCTGGGGGCAGGAGGGCAGCCCTGGGGGCAGGAGGGCAGCCCTGGGGGCAGGGAGGCCCAGGCCGCCTGCTTGCTGGCTGGCGCGAGGCATGCTGGGAGCCGCAGCACTTCCTCCCGGGGGGCCTCTGGAAACCACAGGGAGCTGGGCCAGCTGCCCCAAGCGGAGCGGCAGGATGGCCGAGGGCAAGGCGGGCGGCGCTGCCGGCCTCTTCGCCAAGCAGGTGCAGAAGAAGTTCAGCAGGGCCCAGGAGAAGGTAGGCGGCGGGGCCTGGGCCGAGGAGGAGGGTCCCCGCTGACCCCCGGGGAAGTGGGGTGGGGAGTGGGTGTCCATGAAAACTGGCAGATGGGAGAGAACGGAGAACACCAAGCCATCTTGAGCAAGGCTGGGCGAAGCCCAGGAGACAACGGTTTCTGTCAGGAACAACCCTCAGGCTGACCCAGAAAACATGACAGAAAGGAGCCAGCGTTGGCGGCCATCCGCGCTGCAGGGTTCGTCCTCGTAATAAGGCCAGGATGGTGGCCTTTTTACAGATGATGAAATTGGAGGGTAATTTCCCCAAAGGCAAAGACGGTGACAACCAGCTGTGATGCCAGATACTGACACTAAAACTTGGCTTTTGACATCCCCTGAGGACTCAAGAATCTACATAATTCTTTCTGTACCTACCCCTTCCTGGCCTCTGGTGGTGGTTTAATGACCCATATCTGCTTCCTGTACCCTCCCTTTGGCTTTGGAGACCACACTGCCCAGGATGATGGAGCATCTCTTCAATTGTGCCCTTCTTATCTGGGTAGCCTACTCCAGCATTGGGTAGGCTGCCCATTACAACTTAACCTGCCTGTCCAGATCAGGTGGACACTCTCTGTACATTTTAATGGCATTTTTGTAACTGTCCAATGTATTTTTTTTGCTTCGAATTTCCACCTACCATCAACGGGAAAACAGGTAAGCCAGAAGAAAAAGGGGGATGGAGATACAAGAAGGACTTCAGATACAGTCTTGGTTTTCTAAGAGTTACAGTCTTAGAAGCATATAGATGAATAGCACAGGCTTAACAACTGAAATATTTGTATTGTAAAGGCAGAGGCAGCTTTGGAAGGATAAAGGGCAACCAACTCTCTCTCAAGTGGGTTATCAATTGAGCAATGATGGAATATAGATGTCGTTCCTGACTTTAAGAGACCACAATGGAAGGCTGGGGTTGTGGCTCAGTGGTAGAGCCTTTGCCTAGCATGTGTGAGGCACTGGGTTCAATTTTCAGCACCACATAGAAATAAATAAAAAATAAAGGTCTATCAACAACTAAAAAAAAAAGAGACCACAATGGAGCCAGATGTGGTGGTGCAGGCCTGTAATCCCAGCAATTCGTGAGGTTGAGACAGGAAGATCACAAATTCAAGACCAGCTTCAGCAATTTAGAGAGGCGCTAAGCAACTTAGAAAGACTCTCTCTCAAATAAATAAATAAATAAAAATTAAAAGGGCTGGGGAAGTGACTCAGTGGTAAAGTGCCCCTGGGTTCAATCTCCAGTACCAAAAACAAAAACAGAGATCACAATGAAAGGGAGAGGATCTTATACTTTTTCTGTCTTTTGAAGTCCTGTGAAACAGAAGAGGAAAAGGGCAAGATTTTATGTGTTGAACTTAAGTTACTTCACTTACTCTAACCTTGGTGGTTGTTTCAGCCTTTCTAAAGGCTGATTACAAATCTGATAGATCAGAGAGAGTGACTGCTTATGAGAAGGTTGGGTTAGAAACAGTATGGGGGAGCAGGAGGTACCCCAGAGAAAGCCACATTGTGGTTGAAAAAAAGAACAAAAACCCCAAACGAAAAGAAAAAGGAAGGAAAAACAATCTCACAAATAATAGCATTTTTTTTTTTTAAAGAAATACCAAGGGCGAGGGATGGAACTCAGTGGAAGAGTGCTTGCTTAGCATACCCAAAATCCTGGGCACCACAAAACAAATTTTTTTAAAAAACATAGTACTTAGCTGGGCTTGATGGTGCACATCTGTAATCCCAGCAGCTCAGGAGGCTGAGGCAGAAGGACCGAAAGTTCA